ATTCATTCATTCATTCATTAAACAAACAGACTTATACTGGTGAGCAGGGTAGGCTATGACAGCTGTCATATCATACCCTGCCATGCCCAGCTGATGCAAAGAATATAATTTATATCTACACAGAAGAAAGCCCTGTCTAGACTCTGCCCCGGTATGAGTTGTGTCAAGCTATTCATTAGCCTGTTAATTTGATGAAAAAAGACTAAATGTAGTTGCAATAAATGCGTTAAGGATCCATACAACTGCAGCAGCAGAGGACTATTATTCTGCTGCGTGATACTGCAGAAGAACTGATGATGGCACTTTGATCTTCGGCTGACCAATCAGCAGAAAGGGGCGTTTAATTCCCGCCCACATGTAGAAATCGAATATTCAAGCTGTTTATTCATTTTTCTACCCCTGCACGAAAAAATTAAATTTAAGCTGAATTCTCGTTTCCCATTTTTTGGAAAAAAACGAAAAAGGAGCCGTTTTCTCATTTTTCTACTTTCAATATTAAATCAAAAAATTAATTATCGAATGATACACGGATTCTTGCAAACTGTTAAAGGCATTCTCTGCTCTGCCATGTTATGTCTCCCTCAACTCTTCCAATTAACTGCTGACAGCCTTCTTTAAAAACAAGATAATCATCAACAATCTATTCCCAGAACTACAAATTATAAATTGTTATAGCTAAATTTTTTAAGTTCTAGTGACAAAGTTTAAACATTTGATTTAGAGCTCTTCTCATAACAGCAATATAAGAATATACATTTTTGTTATGAGTGCTAGCAAGATCTCAGAGCCCAACGGGGCCCGACTTATTTACACCCCTGGGGCTGGGCTTCGGGCCAGTTTTCATGTCATAGCTCACACGCGGGCTGGGCATAGGGCTATTTTAGGCTTCTTCTTTTTAAATTTTAGGCATTCATCAATTAAGGTGATGGAAAAGATGAGCTGCGCTGGTGGAAACAACACAAGACCAGGCTACCATGACTGTCAAAACTGGCTAGCACAATGTTTAGTGTCCCCACCAGCAGCAGTAGCGAGCCTTGAGTGCAGCTGGAAAAGTTATAGAAGAAAGAAGAACTGGATTGAAGGGGTCATATGACGTTGCTAAAAAAGAAGTTTATTTGGTGTAATGCAATGTGTTTATGCGGTTTAAGGTTCAAAAAACACATTATTTTCCACATACTGCACATTATTGTTGCTCCTCTATGCCCCGCCTTTCTGAAACATGTGTTGCACACACACAAATATTTGGTATGAACTGTTCTGGAACAGTGTTGTAAATACAACTTAACCTTGATTTCTAGTTGTGTCCTCTTTTGGAAGGCCAAACAAAGTATTTTCGCTTTCACAACGAAACACACAGCATCTCCACGACATGGCGGCGGCTGCAGCAACAATACTATAGTGAGAATAGAAGTTACACCTCTTTCTTAGCATAAACATTTGGGCGGCGTTATGCAAATCTTCCCACATTGTGACGTAGACATGGAGTGGACGAGACTTAAGTTTTAAATAGAATATCTCTTTGGGTTTGAGACTTTAGTCTTTGCAACTTTAGTGATCTTATCTATTCACGAACAGCTTGTAACACTCCAAAGAGAAAGGAAAAATTTAAATCATATCATATGACCCTTTTAAAACTAAGGCTGCCCCCGACTAAAGATTTTTTTAGTCGTTCATTTAAGCCTTTATTTGACTAATTGTAGTTTTATATTCATTTAATTACTTAATTACTTAGTATAAATATATACTAAACCATAATGAGCCTTTAAATATAGGCCTATAAGGTAGCTAGCCATTCCACGCTCACGGAGACGGAGACTGTTTGTTTTCTTTATTTTACTAAAGCACAACGTTTTGTTGATAGTACACAAATAAAAGTTGACTTTATAGTTTCAAATGATTTATTACTCTTATCTGTATGAGCAAAAATGACTGCACATTTTATGTTGTTTCTACTATTACTGGGGGGGAAATGAAAGTGATTGCACCTCTATGCATTAAGCATGCTTTAGCTTCCACAAACTGCACAAACACTTAGATATGCACCTAACAGACCACATTTATGTAAGTTAAACATTTAAACAAACATTGTGATAAGCTTGAAGTGTTTTATATTGTAGGAAAGTCAAGTGTTGATTCGAGAAGGCTAAATTTATCAAACATGTGGTAAACGAAAATAAATATAACCACTTTGCCATTAAAAACAAAACTGAACTATTTTAATGGGTGCAACAGTAGGCTGTGTAATGGGGAGGAGAAAAAAACCATCACAGGCTCCAGTCAAACTCGGGCCGAGAATTCTGATGAGCTGTCAGACAAGGGCCAGGCTAGGGCTTAAGAGTCTCAGGCCAGGGCCGGGCTAGGGCCTACATTTAAGGCCCGTGCAGGGCATTATAGCAAGAGTCACTCTGTTCCTAACACTCAAACAAGTAAAAGGAAAAAAATGTCCTATTATAGTTCACATTAAAAAGAAACATAATAAATATACAGGTTTGTTAACTTCCTCCACAGGCCCAGGTTACAAAAGCATACTTAGTACAACCTGTATTTTGGCTGTAGTGTGCGATCTTGTCACTGGCATTGCTTTACAAGCAGAAATTTCTAATATTCTCCACCACAAGGCTTCAAATAATAACCCTTTCAGGTCTGCAGTAGCAAACTGTACAACACACTACACCATGCAGCTGACTAAGGTCTTTTTAAACAATAGGAATACAAATTCTTTCGGAGTCCATATAGTATAAATAAGGCAGCAGGCTGTCATTATAGTAGCAAATTTGGAATAACCACAACAGCAACCATGCACGGAAAGGTAAGTCAAGACCAAAAAATAACCGGTAACACTTTACAATAAGGTTCCATTAGTTAATGTTAGTTAATGCATTAACTAACATGAACAAACAATGAACAATACATTTATTACAGTATTTATTAATCTTTGTTAATGTTAGTTAATGAAAATACAGTTGTTCATAGTTAGTTCATGTTAATTCACAGCGCATTAACTAATGTTAACAAGCACAACTTTTGATTTTAATAATGCAGTAGTAAATGTTGAAATTAACATTATCTAAGATTAATAAATGCTGTAGAAGTATTGTTCATGCTTAGTTCATGTTAACTAAAGTAGTTAACTAACGTTAACTAATGAACCTTATTGTAAAGTGTTACCAAATAAGCAATTCCACAACACCTTACTAAACTACATGATTTGTTTGCTTTTCTGATAACTGATTGCTTTTCTTTTCTTACTGATATAGAACAAAAGCACTCCCATTTCAATACAACAAATTGTTTTTGAAAATTCAATTGGATATCGTGTTGGGTAATGTTTAATATAGTGTTGATAAATAGTAATTCAGTCAATACTGAACATTTTTATGTTTGTCCCAGGTCATCTTTTACGAGGACAGGAACTTCCAGGGTCGCTCTTATGAGTGTATGAGCGACTGTGGTGACTTCTCCTCCTACATGAGCCGCTGTCACTCCTGCAAAGTGGAGAGTGGATGCTGGATGATGTATGATCGTCCCAACTATATGGGAAATCAGTATTTCTTTAGGAGGGGAGACTATGCTGATTACATGTCTATGTTTGGAATGAATGACTGCATCAGATCCTGCCGTATGATCCCTATGGTGAGCTCCATGAACATTTTGCATTTGTAATAAATTAACTTTATTTTAATGGAAAAAAAATCAAAATTCAGAATAGACACTATAAACTACTAAAACTAAATCACCCGATGACAACTTCTTCACTGCAGCACAGGGGATCCTACAGAATGAGGATCTACGAGAGGGAGAACTTCATGGGTCAGATGCATGAGATGATGGATGACTGTGACAACATCATGGACCGTTACCGCATGTCTCACTGCCAGTCCTGCAATGTGATGGACGGCCACTGGCTCATGTATGAGCAGCCCCAATACAGAGGCAGAATGTGGCACTTCAGGCCTGGAGAGTACAGGAGCTTCAGCAATATGGGTGGCATGAGATTCATGAGCATGAGGCGCATCATGGACTCCTGGTACTAGTGTTCTAAAGGGTCAATAAAATAATTTCTCTTCAGCACTAAACATTTGTTTTGAACATTCTTTAATGCAAATATTTGATCTGTATTAATGAATAATCCACATAAAAATATCCTATGACATAAACTTTCAAATAACATAAAATACTAAAATATAAAAGAACACAATGCTATTCAAGTTATGAGTACAGCCAAGCTAGGCATAATAGTTAAATCCAACTGAATAATATTATTGAAACATTTATGTTATTTAATTTGGATATCAATTGACCCTTCACAAAAACCCGCCCACCTTAGTTACTGTTGCTAAGTCTGACAAGCCATGGCACTCTCACATCATACATTATGTTCTCCCAAAGTGAAAAATACATTGCGGAGCAAAGAGGAAAGTGACAACGCGCCGACAAAGACAAAGCAAGATTACTTTTAGTATGAAACAAAGTCTCAGCTTTCCAATTTTGCCATTTTTAAAGAAATTCAAACAATAAATACCATTTTGTGGCTCTTTAATGTGTCATGACAGATTGCTGTAGCACCTCAGTTCAAGCGGCATGTGAACCGATCACCTCTTCTTCTTTACTAGTCATAGCACGAAATAAACATGAATGAACATCATAAGGTATCTTGTTTCAACCACGGAAAGACGTCAATTCACACCATTTTTCCAAGTTCATGTTACCGACATAAATCTACTCTCCTGTCTGGTTTGTTTGTCAGACAAAACGTCAGATTTGGCGTTATGATCAGACAGATTGCCTGTCAATCAAGCTCACGGCTCTAACAGCAAAAGAAAAAGAAATCCACTTTTCCATTTCCTTCAGTTTCCAAATAAGGGGAAAAAAGAAAGACTTCACAAATTTTCAGCCCGTCCCTCAGCATTTTGTATTTGATAGCACCCTACATCTATGTTCTTGTGGAAGTCCCAAAGTGCCTGCGTGATATGCATCAACAAACCTAATTGAGTTTCCGTTTAATGGGAAATCAGTATTTCTTTAGGAGGGGAGACTATTCTGATTACATGTCTATGTTTGGAATGAGCAACTGCATCAGGTCCTGCCGTATGATCCCTATGGTGAGCTCCATGAACATTTTGCATTTGTAATAAATTAACTTTATTTTAATGGAAAAAAAATCAAAATTCAGAATAGACACTATAAACTACTAAAACTAAATCACCCGATGACAACTTCTTCACTGCAGCACAGGGGATCCTACAGAATGAGGATCTACGAGAGGGAGAACTTCATGGGTCAGATGCATGAGATGATGGATGACTGTGACAACATCATGGACCGTTACCGCATGTCTCACTGCCAGTCCTGCAATGTGATGGACGGCCACTGGCTCATGTATGAGCAGCCCCAATACAGAGGCAGAATGTGGCACTTCAGGCCTGGAGAGTACAGGAGCTTCAGCAATATGGGTGGCATGAGATTCATGAGCATGAGGCGCATCATGGACTCCTGGTACTAGTGTTCTAAAGGGTCAATAAAATAATTTCTCTTCAGCACTAAACATTTGTTTTGAACATTCTTTAATGCAAATATTTAATCTGTATTAATGAATAATCCACATAAAAATATCCTATGACATAAACTTTCAAATAACATAAAATACTAAAATATAAAAGAACACAATGCTATTCAAGTTATGAGTACAGCCAAGCTAGGCATAATAGTTAAATCCAACTGAATAATATTATTGAAACATTTATGTTATTTAATTTGGATATCAATTGACCCTTCACAAAAACCCGCCCACCTTAGTTACTGTTGCTAAGTCTGACAAGCCATGGCACTCTCACATCATACATTATGTTCTCCCAAAGTGAAAAATACATTGCGGAGCAAAGAGGAAAGTGACAACGCGCCGACAAAGACAAAGCAAGATTACTTTTAGTATGAAACAAAGTCTCAGCTTTCCAATTTTGCCATTTTTAAAGAAATTCAAACAATAAATACCATTTTGTGGCTCTTTAATGTGTCATGACAGATTGCTGTAGCACCTCAGTTCAAGCGGCATGTGAACCGATCACCTCTTCTTCTTTACTAGTCATAGCACGAAATAAACATGAATGAACATCATAAGGTATCTTGTTTCAACCACGGAAAGACGTCAATTCACACCATTTTTCCAAGTTCATGTTACCGACATAAATCTACTCTCCTGTCTGGTTTGTTTGTCAGACAAAACGTCAGATTTGGCGTTATGATCAGACAGATTGCCTGTCAATCAAGCTCACGGCTCTAACAGCAAAAGAAAAAGAAATCCACTTTTCCATTTCCTTCAGTTTCCAAATAAGGGGAAAAAAGAAAGACTTCACAAATTTTCAGCCCGTCCCTCAGCATTTTGTATTTGATAGCACCCTACATCTATGTTCTTGTGGAAGTCCCAAAGTGCCTGCGTGATATGCATCAACAAACCTAATTGAGTTTCCGTTTACCATATTCAGGTTTCGAAATTAACTTTTAAAATTTTACTTCAAAAAGTTAGGAGCACCAGCAAAAATGTAGGGGCACCCACTGAAAATTAAAGTACACCACAACTGCCAATTGAGCAGAATGGCCGACAACATCCTGAGGATTAAAAGCTTCAAAAATTTGACCTGATCCTGAATTCTTTGCCACACACTTGTCCTGGCATTTCTTGTTAGTGATGGACCGATATGGATTTTTCATGGTTGATTCCAATTGTTGTTGTTTTACAAGCAAATGATATATATATTGTTTTTTGTTTTTTTTAACCAAGAGACAAGAAAGAATGAAAATATGAGTATATGAACAAAATGTTTGTTATCTCTATTACAGGCCGAACTATCTGTAGCTATTTAAAAATTAGAGGCAACCACTGCATTTTAATACACGAGCAGTTTCTGATTTAAATTGTATAATTTCAAAATCTGAAGCAAAAACAGAATGCTCTGACTTCAGCTTTGTGAAAATATGCTACATGAAATATATCTGCACAACACAAAAACAGCAGACTGGCTGAATGAGAATGCAAATTCACTTTCTGACAGCAGGTGGTATTTATGGAATAGCAGCAATACAGCATTTCCTTGGTTACTGCTGCAAACAAAGCAGCTTATAAATACTACTTCAATATGCATTATGGAGGATCCAGCAAGGGTCCAGTGATGTCCTTCAGGTGGGCCAGCACCAGTTTTTCAAAAGAATTCATGACCACAGACGTTAGAGCCACATGTCTGTAGTCATTAAGTCCAGTAATTTTGGGTTTCTTTGGGACGGGGAGGCAAGATGAAAATAAAATACCATCTAAAATTTTCTGAAGAACGTCAAAAAGATACCCAGAGATACATTCATATAAACCCCCACTCCTAATTCAATATTTAAGATTTTCATTCAATATGTCACTCATTGCAAGCAGTGATCTAGCTCTGCCTGCTACAGTGTTTTCTTCTCCTTGCATCCATCTTCAATGTCTGTGGCCTCTGTTAATGTCCAATTTCATAATCTTTCCACATAAATGACATTTTGGAAAATGACTGCAATACAGTTTGTGCAAATCTGGAAAAGAGATCAGCCAAAATAAAACTAAAAACTGTTTGGAGCAACAACAAAAAAAAATGTCCAGTTCCGGTTCCGAGTTAGCTCCCGGTCACGTGACAACGGACCGCAGTGTTAGTGAAAGGGAGTGACTGATGGCTAATATTAACCAATCTAAAATCTGCATTAAAGTTAAGAATGTAAAGATTAAGTTTAATTGGTTTTGTAACATTGGATAGAATGGTGGACCCGTCTTGTATCAGCTCACAGCAGGTACATACTGTGCAGTAATTAGCAAACATTTTGTAGGGAAACGAAATTAGGTCGTACATCAACAATTATTTGCACTCACAAAATTGCTCCCAAATATATTTTTGAGGTCACACAGATTAAATTTCAGGAGCATATGCGAACAAAATTGTCGCAATTTCAAGCCCTGCCTATTTGATGTGGTCTATATGCATTGATCAATATTAATAATGTAAATAAAAGCCTAAATTAAATCTGTACATCATATAAAGCAGTCATGTCTCTTCAGAAGAAGAGACCGCTCAATTTATATGGATTTATTTCATGAAAGCTTTATGAACTTTTGAAGTGTAAAAGTTTTGGAGAAATGGACTTTCAACGAAGAGACAGCAATCTAAGGTTTTGCTAAAAAATATCTTAATTTGTGTTTCAAAGATAACCGAAAGTCTTGTGTTTGTAATGACATGAGAGTATGTGATGACAGGATTTTCATTTTTGGGTGAACTAACCCATTAAATAAACATGCTTTCTGTTTGTCCAGAGTTTGAGGCCCTATTTTACTCCATATTCATAGCACCTCATTCAGTGTCACAACTGTTAAGTTACTGTCCAAAGTAACGCCATCAAGGCCACCTTTTAATTTTTCCATGCAGCACCACAAATGTTATGTTTTCAAATAATGACAATTCTCACATTTTAGTCAACTACAAAAAAAGAATAATCTGCCTTACTAGAAATAATATATTAAGCCATTATGTCAGACACCTCCGTACAATACAAAGAAATCTAACTGCATAGCATTTTAGTAGCACAATGACCGATTAATGGCCATAACTTCACATTATAGGTTTTTTACTCATAACTGCATCTTTTATTGAAATAACAAATAAGAATATTCTCATTCAGCACATTTCAAGAAAACAATATACATGAGTCCCTACATGAGTCACTGCTGCTACTGCAGAGTAGAGAGTGGATGCCTCATGGTCTACAACCACACAAATTTCATGGGACACAGCACTTTCTGAGGAGGGTCTTTATCTTTATAGTCGAGCCACAGTAAGTAAGTAAGTAAGTAAGTAAATAAGTAAATAAGTAAATAAATAAATAAACACTTTTTCACACCACTGTGTGTGTATATATATATATATATATATTTTTTTTTTCTTTACCAAGAGTGCGGCAAGATGAAAACCACTATTTTCTGTTTCAAACTTTCACATTGCATCTTTAGGTTATAATAACATAAAAAATTTAAATCCAGATTTTGATTTTCAAAGATTTATTATAAAAACTAGGGGTGTAACGGTACACAAACATGACAGTTTGGTACGTACCTCAGTTTTGATGTCATGGTTCGGTACGGCATCAGTACAGCAGGGGGAAAAACTTAACAATTTTTTTTTAATTAAACAGTGGTTTACTGAGCAAATTGCTCTTTCTTTAAATAAATTCAGTTATAATTCAAATTTTCTTAGGGATGAAAATCTACCTCGGCTTATGCTCTAAACTACAGTGAGCCCTTTTACATTAGACCTACTATAAGGTTACAGTTAACAACAGAGCCCAAACTTAAATTTAATTACTATTTATTTTTAAATATAACAAGCAACACTCAACTTATATATATGTATGAAAACATGTAAATTGCACATAATGCAGTTTTTTTAATTAACTTCTAAATTCAAAAAATTGTATTTGTTGTTGAAATATATTAATTTACACAGTGCCTCTCATAACTCGTTTCAAAACAGATTTATTTCAACATTAAATAATTAAGACATCACTAACAGGTAAAGTATATTATAATGAGTATAGTCTAATATTTCGCGAAATGCTCTTCTCTAGACTTTATTTATAGCTGTGGACAGTTGATGACTGCCTGAGGTAAAGGAAATGCTACATTACATTTTGTTTATAAGCTGTTTTATTGTCGTCTTTCCGCGGTTGAAACACTGATTGAGCAATTACATGAGGCATGAGATGTTCATTCATGTTTATTTCGCGTTAAAACTATAAGTAAAGAGGAAGGGATGATCGCGCTGCCATTTGAACTGAGAGGCGCTTATACAGTGATCTGTCGCTGAACTTTTTTGACGGCGATCAGCTGTAAAATGGCTTGGTCCTGCTCGGTTTTCGTTGACTGAGTAAAACAATTGAAAGTTTTTCAAAAGATCCCCTGGGGTCAATGTGTTAGCATGACAGAAGTTTGATGCTGTCGTGTGAGAACAAGCAACAGCCAGCATTTTTCCTCCTCCCAAGTGCCTCATCTTCTTAATCTCCTCACGTAAATGCAGTGGTGTAATGTAACGAAGTAATAATACTTCATTAGAGTACTTAAGTATTTTTTGGGAGTATCTGTACTTGAGTTTTTATATTTCAGCCAACTTTTACTTTTATTCCACTACATTTCCTAATTAAAATGTATACTTTTACTCCGATACATTTCCCCGAAGCATATTTGTAACTTACTACAAAATAGTCAGAAGTCAGAAGAACAGGGACTGCAGGAAAGCAGGTCTGACGAATCAGTGGTCTGCATTATTTACTGGCGCTTGCAAGTTAAAAACACCGTTGCTCATGTGCAAACAAGTGCGCGCACAACCGCCGATTAATTTTCCACTAAAGTCGAGGCTGGGGTGTGCGATATACAGTATATCTTCTGCGATAATATGATAAGTGTTGTTGTAATGATGTGCGATCTGACATTATCAAGTAGGCTATATCACAAAATCACACACAGATTGCATGCATGTTG